GAGAGATACTTTTTAGCTTGCCCTAATGTAAATAAATACAAGCTCTTTTGAGCAGGGGTAGAAGCAAATTCCAGAATCAACTGAGAGGCCCTGAAACTATATATAATACCACACCTATATATCTAGAAAGTGTTAGCTCAAGCACCCCAGCAAATCTCAACTTCTGCGTTAGAGCACTAAATCAGAGGTGGTCACTTAGATAACCAGGACCACAAGGCTTTCCAGATCAAAAATCTTGTATTGCACCCAGAAATCAGCAGGGACCCATTGAAGTCTACAAAGCACAGATATAATAACCTCCATACATGACATACCATTAATTAAAACAGCAGGCACATCCTTCGCTAGCTGACTTTCCAAGTGGTTTATAAGCATACTCCAAGTAGAGCACATTGCATTAGTTCATCCTGAAGATTACAAAGGCATGCATAACTTTGGTGAGGGCCATATCTGAAAGGAACAGTCACAACCACCTCACCAAACAGAGATGAAAAAAGGAATGTTGGTTACTGCTGTTATCTGAGAATCAGCTGAAGGTCTGATAACCATGCTGCAAACCTTATCAACAACAAAAAAAACACCTTGGCTGAAGTAGCTGATGTCACCTCCTCTGGTTGTTTTCCCCAGCTAACCATCATTCCTGCCTTAAGCAGATCAAACCTCAGCCAACTATTCCTCAGCACAATCTCAGCCAGACACTGAAATATATTACTGCCTGGGTTCACTATCTAGTTTAGGTTCTCATCACCACAGTATATGAGCATCTCACAGTCATTAATGCATTTATCCTGCTTACTCCCCTGTGAGATAGAGAAGTGCTATTATCTCTGTTCTACAGCTGTGGAAACGAGACACAAAGAAACTAAGGGCCAGATTTACAAAGGTACTCAAGCACCTAAAGATGTAGATAGGCATCTAGTGAGATTTACAAAAAAGCCTAGGCACATAACTCCCATGGATTTTCATTTAATTTCACCTAATTCCCATTGATCGCCCCAGCAGCCTCCCATACAGAGCAGAGTGACAAGACAGCTCGCCACATAAGAGAACCCTGGGAGCAACTGAATAATTGCCCATCAGCACTCTCTGTGCCCTCTAAGAAAAAAAGAAATAGAGCCAATCCAGTATGACACAATCCATCAATAGTAAGGTCTGCAATTACTTCAGCAATACTTCATGGCCAATGGTTCGAAAGGCAAAAAGAGTCAGTGTGGCTGGTCTATGTCCATAGTCAGAAGGAAAGCACTGACCAAGACCAATGCAGTCTGACATACGCTCAAGTCTAAAATCGAACTGAAAGGGTCAAGAAAATCTGAGAACTCTTGCTAATACTAGAGCTGCTTTGGCACAACCTTCTCAATAGCCCGCCCCATCTCAAAAAAGGAAGGTTTTTACGAACTATGACCTGATCCTCACACAAAAATCCAAGGTAAAGCCATATCACAGCCCTTTACGCAGGAATAATTTTGCATACTATTGAAACGCAGCCATTTGTGGAGTGGCACACAGTAGGTCTTTTAGCAGAACAGCAAAATTACATAACAATTTAGGGCAAGAATTAATTAAGAATAGTGTAGCCAAGTGAAACTGACGGTGAAATTTTTGGTAGGCAGAATGTAGGAATATCAGAATTGTCATACTGGATCAGACTAGTGGTCTGTCTTGTGGTCCTATCTCTCACATTGGCCAGTACCAGATGCTGCAGAAAAAGGTTCAAGAAACCCCATCATGGACAATTATGGAATAACATGTTTATAGAGGGGTAGCCGTGTTAGTCTGAATCTGTAAAAAGCAATAGAGGGTCCTGTGGCACCTTTAAGACCCTTGCGTCTGATGAAGAGGGCATTCACCCACGAAAGCTTATGCTCCAATACTTCTGTTAGTCTTAAAGGTGCCACAGGACCCTCTGATGTTTATAGAGGAAGTTTCTTCCTAACCCTCATCAGTTAGGGGCTTACTTATGCCCTGCAGCATGAGGGTTTCTCTATGCTGTTCATTATTTTACATCCTTCCATCATATCCCATCCTTTTTCTCTCTTCTCTAAACAATCCAAATTTTTCCATCTCTTTTCATGGAAGTCTTTCCTGTAATCATTTTCATCATCCATTGCTGAGTGCCCTTAATTTCTGTTATAACCTGGTTAATATAGAGCAGAGGTTCTCAAACTGTGGTCCGCGAGCTCCATTCAGGTGGTTCACGGATAGTTCCCTCTAAGCTGTGCACCTGGGCGGCCACACACCTAATTAGTGGAGCCGCGCAGGCGTGGCTCCACTAATTAGGTGCCTGGACCCTGGAGAAGACGCACATGTAAGGTGAGGTGGTGGCCTTGGGGGGAATAGGTGGTAGGTGGGAGTGGAATGAGAAGAGGGGGGAATTTGGGACATGCAGGGCTGCAGTGGCCAGAGAAAGGTGACTTTCCCCAGCTGCAGGACTGCAGCTGTCAGGGAGAGACGGCCATCCTTCCCAGCCTCAGCTCTGTGGCTGCTGTGGTGGGGAAGAGACCCCCTTCCTTCCCAGCCCCAGCTTGGGAGCTGCCGCAGTGGGGGAGACTCTCCTCCCTCCCAGCCAGGGAAAGAGGGCACATCCATCGCATTAGAAAGGTAAGACTACTGATATTAAAATATGAGTTGTATGCTTTTATTTCTAGAACAAAAAACTTTAATTATTATTGCGGTTTTTTTATATAGCACTTTTATCCAAAGTGCTTTACAATAGTTAGCTAACGGTACAAACAACATTTGGAAAGATCATTAAGTGGTCCACCGAGGCCCTCAGCAATTTTCAAGTGGTCCGTTGGAAAAAAAAAGTTTGAGAACCACTGAGATAGAATGACCAGATCTGAACAAAGTATTCTAGGTAAGGGCATACAATTGTTCCATATAAAGACATATTTTCTGTATTATTCTCCATCCCATTCTCTATATATCCTAATATTGTTTGGTTTTGGTTTTTTAACACTCTGCTGTACGTTGAGCAGAGGTTTTGAGACACCCAGAATGGTGTCCAAGTCTTTTTCTAAAATGACGATGGTTAATTTAGAACACAGCAATGTGTAGAAGTAGTTAAATTTTTTCCTTCCAGTGCACATCACCTTGCATTTCTCAATAATGAATTTCATTTGCCATTGTGGTGTGTATTCACCTGCCTTTATTAGAGCTCGCTGAAGTTCTTCACAATCTTCTCTTGTCTTGTCAAAATTTAATAATTTTGTAATTTCTACAGTGTTGCTATCTCACTCTTCATTTCCTTTCCCAGCTACTGATAAGTATGTTCAACACCACCAATCCTAGTAAGGAAATTTGGGAACATTATGTTAAAAATTGACCATATTTTCCTAATCTCAGTTTTCTGCCTCTTAGGCCTTCTCTTCATTGGGAGGGGGATGGCGGGGGGAGAAAGTGTTCTTATCACGGGTTATCTAATACCCATGGTAAAATCACAGTGAAGACAAGGCAGTTTATATTTTAACACATATTAGTAGGCTGAGGTAAATCCTAGGCTCTCCCTCCAGTGTTTACCTCTACCTTCTAATACATTTGAAAACTACAAACTTCCTTGTTTTCGTTAGCATTTCATCATAAGTTACCAAGTATTAGCTAACTGTGATAAGAAAACACAATTTTTCCTAGTGTAGATACACCCTTATATGGATTATATCCTAATCCATGATAGAATTTAACCTCTCATGTCCTGATTTCTTAGCCTATGCCTTCACTAGAAATTGTGTGTTTTTACACCAACCCTACACTTCCTGATTAGCTACATCAAGGACAAGCGTGTTGTCTCTACCTCCAGATAGCTATCTTGAGTCAGTTGTTTCAATATAAAAACACACTTTTTTTTTTTTTTTTTTTTGCAGTGACAAACATTATCCTACTTTTCTTACTAGCCTCTTGCCACTTAATAGCCACCGTCACATCGGATTCTCCATTAGCCACTATTTTGTTGATTTGCACAACGACTAGTAAGCTGGAGAAGCAGGCTTTTGTTCTGCAGAAACCACACTGATTTGTCCCTATCACATCACATTCCTCTCTGGGTATTTTATGATTCTATTTTTAATGATCATTTAAACCACAAGACTACCTGATACTGAAGGAGGGTTTACTGCTCTTTAATCCCCCCTACCTAGTGCCTTCCTCCGGTACGCCAGCTGACCAAGAAATTGCCTATCTTTGTTGGCAGCTCAGCCCTTTCCTTCATCAGAGCCAATCAGAGCGCATGAGGTGTCCGCACTGGCGCCGCAGCACTCCAGGAGAGCGTAGGGTGACCAGATCTCCCAATTTTATAGGGACCGTCCCGATTTTTGGGTCTTTTTCTTATATAGGTTCCTATTACCCCCGTCCTGATTTTTCACACTTGCTGTCTGGTCACCCTAGCGCAACAAACATTATTCCTCTCAGGGAGGTGGAGTACCAAGAGCGCTCCAGCCGCGGAGTCAGAGTGCTGTATGTGTCTTGCCAGTGTGGACGAGGAGTGAGGTAGAGCGCTCTTGGTGGCTTTATTGCCCTATAATGCGCAAGGGTAGCCAAGGCCTTAGCTTCTTTCTGAACTGGATGTATACTCTCCAGGCCCCGACTTGCTGCTCTTCCCTGAATTTAAATGATCACTTTGTGCCTGCAGTCCTCTTTTGGCACCTCACTCCCTGGCAGTACTTCCCCTTCATTACCTGGGCTGGCAAGGGTGGGTGGGTTAACTCCTGTCCCAATCCTAGGTGTGGCGTGAACTGCAGCAGGGGTGGGGGTCAACTGCTCTGCAATGGCCTTCTCGGCCTCGGCGGCTTTTCCCTCCGTGTGCCGCCCGCTCGTCGGACAAGGCAGGGAGGGACCCGCAGCATTGTGCCCCTAACAACGGGCTGGCTGGGGGGCCGGGGCTCGTAACGCCCCTGGGCATGAACGCCAGGCCCAGCCGCAGGGCGGAGCCCAGCTGACTGGGGCCGGGCGTGGATGGCGGGGCGCTAGCGCTGCGCGCCCTGCAGGTGGCGCCGTGCGCCCGCCGCTTGGGCTGTGGGAAGAGAAACCGAGCTGGGCCTCGCCGCCTCCTGCTCTCGAGTTCCCGGCCAGGAGCGCGCGGCGGAGCCGAGGCGTCTGTGCGGCGGCGCCATGGGGAAGCGGGACAACCGGGTGGTGAGTGACGCGGGGCGCGGGCTCGGCCTGGGCCTGGTAGGGCCGAGGGGAGGCCGTCAGGGGAAGCGCTGCTGCGTCCCGCGCCTCAGCCCGGGCCGGGCCGGGCCTGGCCTGGCCCGGCGAGACCGGAGTGTAGCGCTCAGCCCAGCCCGGCCCGGCCCGGCCAGCAGCGCCTCAGCCGCGGGAGGGGGCCTCGGTGAGTCCTGCTCTGGTCCGCTCCAGGCGCCCCATCTCACTCCCCGTGTCCCCGGGCGTGGGGCTGCAGGGACACCCCCCCCCCCCCCGGGCGCCTCCGTAGTGGGTCTGCACAAGGGTTAGACCAGGAGGGGTTCGTGTTGCTGAACTGTCTAAAGCATATTTGTAAAATTATTGTCGGGGGTTCCCAAGATGGGGGGCAGCCCCCAATATCAGCACAATATCAGTGGCGTCATATATCACAATGGCAGTTCCTGTCAGCATGAAAGCCTTGACTCCGTCTATGTAAACTGGGAACCTATGGTGATGGTGTTAATTGCAATATAATTGTCCTGCCAAAAACGTCTCCTACCAGTAGGGTGACCAGACAGCAAATATGAAAAATCGGGACGGGGGTGGGGGGTAATAGGAGCCTATAGAAGAAAAAGACCCAAAAATCGGGACTGTCCCTATAAAATCGGGACATCTGGGTACCCTACCTACCAGCAGTATGGGATTCTTGGGTAAGGCATTTGGTACCATTCACATGGGCTGGCATGTTTCCCAGCAGAGTAAAAGATCTTTCTCCACTGATAGTAAATTCTATATTGTGCATCATGTATTCTTGCAAAACTGGGCAGCCAGAGAACCCAAGGAATTTACTTGTGTCATATATGATAGAATCTTTCATCTCCCAGTCAAATCTAGCACAAATCACTAATGACTATATGTAGTTTCTGTCTGATATCTGTTTCGTGTTCTGTCATGAAAAAAGTTAGGGTGCTGGCCAGTTCCTTGCAAAGACATTTTCCTACCAATATTATTTTATTATTGAGTGAGCTAAGCTGAGTTATGGAACAACAACAAAAAACAAGGCCTCTGGCCTAAAGTATTGGCTACATATGGGTCCTTCTCTCTGCACAGTTCCTTGTCTCTACACAGAGGCTCTGTTGACTTCAGTAGGTTGTTCCCCAAAACAAGTGTTGACTTCCTCACATGTGATCAATCTGATTGTAGGATCAGACTTTAGTTTTAGGTTGTCAACCTTCCTGTCCTTTAGGTCCTTCCTTAAAACTTTCTCTTTTCAACTAGCCATTCACCACTAACCATCTACAAATACTTTTATGCTTGGCCACATGTTCATATTTAATTTAAGCTTATTAAAATACAAATTTTGCAACTAACAAGTTTTGTGATAAAAATAAACCAAATCACATTATTTTGTTTCAGCCTTTCTCCCTTCTTTGCCTGTATTTCAAATTTAGGCTGTGATCCTGCAAGCTGTTCCCAGCAGACAAATCCTTTCAGTGACTTTAGTGGGGCTCCCTGTGAGCATAGTGGTCTCCATGCAAAGAGAAATTTATAGTATTCAGGCCTTGGACTGTAAGGCCAGGTTTACAAAACTCTTGCCCCTAATGTCAGTTAGGAATGTGATTTTTCTACAACATTTTTATGCTGGCAAAAGCCCTGGTGCAGATGCAGTTTTATTGGCTTTTGATGTGTGCTTTTGCTGATCTAGTTCCCTGAGTAAAAAAAAAATCTAGTATAAGCTGTATCAGAAAAAGAACTGTTTTGCCAGTGTAAACTACATCTACACTAGGAGTGTTTGCTGGTATAGCTATATCGACAAACCTTTCTACTGTAGACAAGGCCTAAGGCAAGGGCGTTCTCTTTTTTGTGTGTGCATAAAGCACCATGCATGCCACTGGTATGGTAGAAATGAAATAACAGAAATCACCACCCTAGTTCATATTGGCACAAGGACAGGTTGGAGGGAAAGGGGCAGAAGGCATCATGCTTGGGGAAAAAGTACAGAAGACTCTGTGCCCACTAGAGTAATGGCTCTCAACCAGGAGGTCTGTGGTCCCTGGGGAAGTCACGAGCAGCTTTCAAGGAATCTGCCAAGCAGGGATGGCATTTGACTCACTGGGGTCCAGGTCAGAAAGCCAAAACCTGAGCCCTGCCATGGGTGGTGTCGGGCCCTGGGCAGTTGCCCTGCTCACTACTCCCTAATGCTGGACCTGGCTTTTAAATGCAGAAAAATAGTTGCTATGGCACAGGTGGGCCGAGGAGTTTTTATAGCATGTTGGAGGGGCCTCAGAAAAAAGGTTGAGAACTCCTGCATTAGAGACTATTCTCTTCCAGAGCCTAGAATGAAACCCAAGATTCCTGAGTCTCACCATTCCTCTGCATTTAGCAAATATCTGTGTAACTTGCTGTCAAAATGTCTCCTCATCTTCTAGTACTGGTCTATATAAAGCATGACAACTTACTATTTACTTACTGCTGCTGTTTACTCAATTAGCCCAAGTGGCAGAGGATCTAAAGGGTCCAACCTTGCTGGTGAACCATGTGGGTTTCAGTATGATGCCACATGATATAGAATGTCTAGGGTTTTTTGTTTGTTTGCTCTTTAAAAAAAAAAAAATCTGGGAAATTAGACTCTTAAAAAAAAGTTTAAAAACTTGTTATTAAGTTTGCAAACTCAAGCACCCAAAAGTTAGGAAATTCCCTACACAACCTTAATTTAGCCACTTTCTGCATATGTATTACAATACAGTCTTTCATCACATGATCACATACTATTTTTTCCGCAGGACCCCTGCCTCATTGAGTGCATAGATGGACCTGCTCTGGGAATGAATAGGGTTATATAGTGAAGGGGCCTGTTATCTGTAGGACCCCTGCTTGGTTTGTTGTCAAATTTGAAGATGTACAGCTATTGAGGCAGATGATTAGAGGAAGAGAAAGAATGGCTTCAATCCCTGCATTTGCCACAAAGATCATATGTGATGCTAGGCAAGCCACTTAAACCGAACTTTTCACAGGTAGCCACTAACTCTGTTCTTAGTTTCTGGGTGTCTGACTGAGACATGTGGTGTGATCTGTTGAAGTGTGAGCACTCACAACTGTTACTGAAGTCAATAGGAGCTGTGTTTTGAACATATAAAGTGCTATATAATTCTAAATACTCTGAAAAATCAGGTCCTAGGTGTCTCAAATTGGGCACCCAAAATTAGTGGATGGATACTTTTGACCTTAATCTCTCTGTGCCTCAATTCCCCATCTGTAAAATGGGGATAATAATATCCCCTTATCTCACAGGAGTGTTGTGAAAATAAATTAATTTTTGTAAAGCCATTGGATACTATAGTCATGAGTGCCATGGAAAAGCCCATGAGGAAATTGATAATTCTATCTTCAGAACATAAGGAGAAGAAAAAATCTTGAATAGCCTCTCACTAAATGAACACGGTCCATCGTGTGCACTGAATGAAGCAGGGGTCCTATGGAAGAAATAATATGTGCTCATGTAATTATTGCCTGTATCATAATGTACACCTAAGTTGACTGAATTAGGGTTGCACAGACAACATTAATTCTGGCATTTTTTAACTTCTGAGTGCTCTTGAGTTTTCAAACTTAATGTTTTTTTTAACATAGCTTACACGATATCTGTTTGTATACACAGATCTGTCTAGAGAAAGGAAGATACATGCACACAAGCATTAGTGTGGCCATATGATTCTAGTATATTCATGAACCAAATTTTTTAAAAATTGTTAGGGAATCACTTCCTTGCTTAGGTAAACTGGGGATTTTTTAAATATTTGGATTTATAAAATTTACCACATTTTGAAGTGCATAAAAAGAGAATACACAGACTTGAAAAGGAGGAACAGATGACAAAGCTTGATTAATAAAGCCATTATTCATAGATTCATAGATTCTAGGACTGGAAGGGACCTCGAGAGGTCATCGAGTCCAGTCCCCTGCCCGCATGGCAGGACCAAATACTGTCTAGACCATCCCTGATAGACATTTATCTAACCTATTCTTAAATATCTCCAGAGATGGAGATTCCACAACCTCCCTAGGCAATTTATTCCAGCAATTTATTATAACTGATCTGTTGTTAACTTGAATATTTTAGGGATTAAAACATATGATTTAGTACTTAAATGCTGCAAAATTCACCAAAGTTTTGTTTATTTACATATATTAGGGTTTTTAGTTTAAAACAAATCCCATATGTAGTAGTTTTATTATGTGGTAATATTATCACTAATTTATACAGTCTTGGTTGTGTGCCACCATCAGTTTGTTTTTGGCCAAAGTGAGTCTAAGGCCTGAATGTACTACCTTTGTTGTGCCAGAGAGTAAGAGACTAGGGATATATGGCACTGTAATAGAGCATCGTATCCAGAAATCTCAAAGCACTTCACAAAAGAAGTGCTGAGTATCACTAGGCCACTGGATAGGCCCTTGTTCCTTTTGTGGCTAAGTAGATTATGTAATTCTAAATTGGAAACATTGTGTTGAGTCTGCCTGTCAGCTTGAATCATCATCTTCTCTTGCTAAATGCCTTCCATCTATAAGAAACATAGTCAGAATTGTTTTCAATAAGTAAGGAAAATTGTATGTGTGGATTTTTGTTTCTGCAGCAAAGTAATTCAATTTACTTCTCACTTTGCTTTGTCATCTCCAAGGCTTATATGAATCCTATAGCCATGGCCAGATCACGAGGTCCTTCCCAATCTGCAGGGCCAACAATACAGGACTACCTGAATAGACCAAGGCCTACATGGTAAGTGTGGAAATATCTGATTGCTCCTTTCGCAAAACCACTTATTTGATGAAAGATACTATCTTGTTAAGTGCCCTCCTTCCCAACATACACCGTGATATTTTATAAAGGGATTCCTAGTATCTGGCCAAAGCATTTTTTCTAAATATCTGTCCTAATTTAATATTTTTTTTAAATTGTTACAGTGTAAGACGATGGCATTTCAGCAATCATTTCTGAAAAGGAATATATTAAATTGATCCGTAGGCATTTTTAGCAACAATTTCTCAGGCCATGTCTACACTACAAATTTTGGTTAACCCAAGATACATTGGTGGAAAGTCACCTGAGTTAATATATTGCGTGTGTACGTGCATGCTTGACTACTTGCATCAGCACTGCAAATACTCACTACTCCTGCTTGTGTTGATGCAGTGTGGTGTAACACCCGTAAATATCCCAGTGTGCCACCGTCTGGTGCATTGTTTTTTGGGAAACCTTTGCAGTGTATTGTAGGACAGAAATGAATCACACAGGAATGACTGGGAGCAAGGGGTCAAGTTCCCATCATGCAGCTTTCTCTATCACATAATGCCATCCATATTCCAAAATGTTTACAACTTTTTTTTTTTAAATCCCACAAACCTGCACAGCACTTTTCACTGTCCACCAACTGTGACACATGCATGGAGCCCGCAGAGTTCTGCACTATTGTCATGAAAGTTGCGAACACTGGACTTACAGTCCTCTACTATTTGCAGTTCTTCCTGTGAGTCTGCAATGTGATGATTTCTTTGAGGATAGATTGATGAGAGACATAGTGAAAATCAATTCAGGGCTAATTGGTGGCATTCACAGAGCAGCTAGGGACAGTGGATCACTGCTTTTGGGCTGGAGAAACAAGCACTGACTGGTGGGATCACATTGAAATGTAGTTTTGGGATGACGAGCAGTGGCTGCAGAGCTCTTGAATGCAAAAAGCCACATTCCTGGATCTGTGTGCCAAGCTTGCCCCATCCCTCCAGGGAATAGGCACCAGAATGAGAGCTGCATTGACAGTTGAGACGTGAGTAGCGATTGCAGTGTGAAAGCTTGCAACACCAGATTGTTACCAGTCAGTGGGAAATCATTTTGGAATTGTAAAATCCATAGTGGGAGCTGTTGTTATGCAAGTGTGTAGGGCCATTAATTGTCTTTTGCTGTGCAGGACTCTGACTCTGGTAGCATGCAGGACATAGTGGATAGATTTGCAGAAATGGGTCCTGAACAGCAGTGGGGCCGTAGATGGCACCCGTTTCCCTATTTTGGCACGGGCCCATGTTGCTACAGAGAGCATCAGTAGAAAGGGATACTTTTCTTTGATTATGCAAGTGTAGATGGATCACCAAGGAGGCTTTAGCAATATCAGAGTGGAAGCTGCATGACGCGCACAACTTTAAGAACACAGGACTGCAGAAAGCTGCAAGCAGGGACTTCCTTTCCCAACCGGCAGATTATCATTGGCAGTGTTGAAATGCCAGTAGTGATTCTGGGGGACCCTGCCTACCCCTGGCTTCCTTGGCTCATGAAGCCATATGCCGTCCACCTTTACAGCACTCAGGAAAGATTCAGCTACCAGCTCAGCAGGTGCAGAATGACAGTTAAATGTGCTTTTGATAGATTGCCAGCATCCAGTGTCCCTTCAGTATTTACTTATGAGATTGGATCTCAGTGAGAAAAATTCCCAGTGGTTACAACTGTCTGTTGTATGCTGCATAATATCTGTGAAGCAAAGGGGGAAAAGTTGCTGTTGGGATGGAAGGAGGAGGTGGAGTGCCTGTGTACTGAGTTTGAACAGACAGACACAAGAACTATGAGCTCAGCCTGGAGCTATGCAGCTGAGGGAGCCCTTGAAAAAAGAACTTTGATGTGGTAGTGTGGGCTGTGCTCTTCTTCACCCTGAAGTTTTAGTTGCTGTTAAGAATTGTTAGTGCCTAGTGTACATTTATGAATATTGCGCTGTCTTTTAATGAACTTATGAATGATGTGGTGCTTGCTGTACATTTATAATTTATTACACTGTTTTTCACTGAACCTGTGAGTTCTGTCACCTGCAGAGCAGGGGTCGGCAACCTACGGCACATGTGCCAAAGGCGGCACGCGAGCCGATTTTGCCAGGCACGCGGCTGCGAGCCAGGGTCCCGGCCGCTGGCTCCGCTCAGCCCACTGCCGGCTGAGTGAACGGAACCCCAGGCCGGCAGGAGGCTGAGCGGGGCCAGCGGCCGGGACCCCAGACCGGCAGCAGGCTCTCCCCTCACCGCGCTCGGGTTCTGCGGCTCCCGGAAGTGTGGGGGGGGCAGCGGCTCACACTCCTGGGAGCCACAGAGCCCGAGCGTGGTGAGGGGGGAGCCGGGGGGCGCACGGGGACCACCGCCCACATGCATCCCTCTCCCCCCCCCCCCGTCCTCTCTCTTCATTGTTGAAATATGGTAACCCTAGGCGAGAGGGGAGCCGGGGGCCACATGGGGGCATTTTAACATGTATTACTGGCACGCGAAACCTTAAATTAGAGTGAATAAATGAAGACTCGGCACACCACTTCTGAAAGGTTGCCGACCCCTGCTGTAGAGTTACACGTAGTTGGTACTTTGAGTAGAGCTAGGCATTCTGCACTATATGTTGTGAAGTAATAAAGATAAATTCATTTCCAAAAAATAGAAAGTTATTGCATACCTAAAACAGTGCAAAAAAAAGTGTAATTAAAAAAATACAATAAAAATGTCTAAAATAAATTAACGGAATCCAACTTTAAAATTAGAAAGATAGAAAACATTCCTGTCCATTTCAGTCCACTTTTGCTTCACATACACCATCTGTGACTCTCCCATGTCAGTGCATGTGAGGCTGTGGTTGTCCTTACTGTTGTCCCCTGGCATGGAGTGGTAGGGATGCAGCCCATGATGCCACATGGAATGTTGGAGTCTGTAGCAAGTTGCTAAATTGGTGTTCTTCATCGACTGCAAAGAGACGTGAGTATGTGACTGTTGGACCTGTAGGTCAACAAGAGTCTGCAGCATTTGTGTTTGCTGCCTGAGTGCATCTCCCTCTCCTTTTCCTGCGGGGACACCTGAGCCCTTCTCCTGTCTGCTCTTTCCTTCTCCATACTTAATGAAATATTTACCCTCCAGGCCCTCTGTTTACAATCCAATGCAACACTGGCTTGCAGGATCTCACTGAACATATCCTCTCTAGTCCACTTTTTATCCTCCTCATCATGGTCAGGCATTCCGCAGGGGACCACTCAACGCCATAGAGGTAGCAGCTACAGATAAAACAGATTGATGTATCGTTGGATTTACAGTCACAACAGAAAGCAAAAAATAAGTTTCAAAACTCCCTTCCCTTATTCCTATAAAAGTTTTAAATAAGACTAGCTTATTAACAGTTCAGCTTTGGAGTGTCTGCACAGCACCGCCCTGCAGCCCCAGCCATGGGGAGTGTGGCCCACTGGTTGCATGAAACAATAAAATTTCGGGCCCTATTTCCATGTGTACGAGTACCAGGCACTATTTTCCACAGGCAGTGGTGACTTTAGCTGATATCTCCTATGAACAATAGGCTGTTTAGTGCAATGGTGCCTGCCAAAGTCATAATAGAGTGGCATGGTAGTCTCCTACCACAGAGGAAGAAATAAGGCTGCTATCTCTAGACACCTTCAGGAGAGGATTGCAGAGTGCCTCCATGAGGTCTCTCAAGAGGTTACAAGAGGCATCCCTATGTACGTAAACAAACTGGTCCGCATGCCAGCTCCCTGCCAGCCCTACAGGGGAATGAAATGCAGATGACAACTCTACCTCTGTTTGTTGTACCATTGCCTCATCTCAAACAAGTAAAACAATGAAAAGTCAATACCTGTTGTGATGCCAGCAGACCAGGTGCCAGCTCATGCCAAGGCCCCTAGGCCTCACTCAACATAGACAGATACATAGCAGGAAACCAGTCTGGCTCACCTGTGGGTTAGTATCGTTAAAATAGATATTAGAGTTATAAGAATGTGTTTAGACTTTATGGAATGCTTGTAGGATGCTGCATGTATTAATCCTACTTATAACATGCCATGTTATAAAGTAATGTTTAAATGTTTGCTCTGTAGCTATAAAAATGTTTGCTAAGGCTATGTCTATGCTGGCAATTGAACGACAAAACTTTTGTGTTTAAAAAAACAAACAAACCCTGAAAGACAAACGTTTTGCCACGGCAAGCACCAATGTGAACAGAGTGCTCCTGCCGACAATGGAAATGCCACTTGTTGGGGGTGGAAGTTTTTTGTCGGCAGGAGAGCCGATAAACAGCAGCTACACTGCATGACTTTTAGCGACACAGCTGTAGCGACACAGCCATGTTGCTAAAAGCTGAGTAGTGTAGACATAGCCAAAGACTGTAAATTCCCCACAGGCAGGGGAGACAAACTACCATTTCACACTTGGTAATGCATCAGAAGAGATGTTATCTTCTTCCCCCCAAAAAGAAGCTCTACAGACATCAGACAAGCCATTGTGGACAAAAGACTTTGTTGATCGCTTCTCCCACACCTCTGAAGCGGGTATGTGCACAACCCCTGTTCCATCACAGCCTGAATGCTGGGAGAAGGGAATAAAAAATGCATGTTAAGGAGATATTGGTATCTTTATTCTGTCTGGAGTCTGAGGGGCAAAGATTCCTAAACATAAGCAGGAGGTCCCCAAGCTGCTTTGCTTGAGTTAGCCCTAAAAGACATAAAAGCTTGCTTATTATAGAAGCTTCCATTACCTTTTGAACTTAAGATTGTACCTCATTAGTGTGTGTACGTTTACCTACTTTAACCTTGTAAATAACGCTCTCATTTCTTTTTCCTAGTTTATAAACCTTTAGTTTGTTACAGGATTGGCTAAAATCATTGTCTTTGGTTTGAGATCTCAGTACAGTTGACCTGGGGGTAAATGACTGGTCCTTTGGGACTGTAAGTAACCTGAATATTATAGTGATTGTTGATTTAAAGAACCATTTATGACAGAGGCAGGCTTGTCTGGGTGATAAGATAGATCAGAGTATCTAAGGGGACTGTCTGTGGCTTCCTATTGAGACTGTTATAGTGCCTGAAGAGTTCACACTCGTTACTTGGTTGGTGAAATCTAAGTTTGGGGTTCGTGCCCTGTTTCTTGACAGTCTGCTCTGAGGTTGGCACTCACGGTTGTGATCCACTCTAGACAGTGTGATGCCTGTGTCCTGCTAATTTGGTCTTGGGTGGGGCACCGTCTTTACATTTGAACATTGTGAGGGAAAATGCAAATGCACTCTTGCCTGAGGTTCCTTTCCCTTCATTGGGCTTACCCATGCTTGTCTGGTGGGATTGGCTAGACTGCGGTGGGGTCTCCAAAAGATCCTGCCTCACAGCATAACTGAAACCCCCTGGCTGCATGTCCTCACCTTTGTTGTCCTTCTTACTGTTCACAGCAGTGGTCTGTGTCTTGAACTGTTCAGAGTTATCCATAGTGGTCTGCGGGGTACTGGTAGGGAGTCTTCCAATTATGGCATGCTGTTCGTTGTAAAAGTGGCAGGTTTGCAGCTCAGCACCTGATCAATTGTTAGGCTCCCTGGCCTGGTGGTATGCGCAGCACAGTTCGTTAGCTTTCATGCAGCACTGCTGCTGATCCTTGTCATACTCTGCGTCCCCTAAGCAATCTTTTCATAGATAACTACCTTTCCACAACTGGTCTAGCTGAGCCTGCACAGGCTCTTTTCTGGAAAGGCCCAGGAGATCCAATACCTCCTGTCTACTCCAGGCAGGCGTGCTTCTAGTGCATGGAGCCTGCAGGGTTGGTTGGCCAGTTGCGCACAACAATGGACAGCTGCTAGGTGTGCTCGCCAAAGTGGGCAGTTAGGAATATGTGGGAGTTTTAAAGAGAAAGGAATGTGGCTTCTAGGTTCTGAGACCCCTGGGCAGAGGAGTTCACAATTGTGATTAGAGCGGTCACTGTCAGGCATTGTTGGTCAGCTGCTGGAGGTCTGTTAGGGTTGATATAGGTCATGCCTTCATTCTTTGTTGACCTCAGTAGGTCAACCATGGCTCAATGCCGTTTGGGGACGTGGTGTTATTGCCTCGCCGTAATAGAGTGTTACATCGACCTGAGACAAATTGAGTTTAGACACTTGATATAATTTGATGCAAGGTGACTTACATCAACCTAACTTTGTACTGTAGACCAGGCCTAAGAATAGAAAAACTTTACATCTCTATTTTTTGTCATGGCTAATATTGCCTGAATTGTGGGTGTGCCCTCACCAGTTTTTTTTTAGTAATTTTAACAGAATCACACATGGAAAGAAATTTTTCTGGATACATTTTTAGAATTGAATTCTACCTTGCAGAATTGTCTTATTAAGAATTATACCATCTCTTAAGATGAGTTACTGAAATTATCTTGTCTTCAATCCATTTTATCTTATAGTACATCAAATTCAAGCATACATTACCTATCACCAAAGTAAGGACTAGACCCTGCACAGGAATTTATTTGCAGGACTTACAATTTACATAATATCTTAAAGTTTAACATAATCCAAAGATAACTCTCTTTCTCCTTTCATGGGAAATTCAGCTAAAGATAAACTGAAGAAACAACTTGGATTACTGTCTGTGCATTTCAGTGGAAATTTAAAAAAAAATCTTAATGTCTGTTCAGGTTTTTTAGACGTATAGATATCTGTGTAAAACCTTTGTATTTTTTATATAAAGGGAAGAAGTGAAAGAACAACTAGAAAAGAAAAAGAAAGGATCAAGGGCATTGGCTGAATTTGAAGAAAAGATGAATGAGGTTTGTGGTTTGATTAATTTTGTGTTGGTGAATCATTTAGAAAAATTAGAATGATCCTTTGTATTCAACTGTCATTAGCAGGATGAAAAGCCCATTGTGTGTGTGTGTGTGTGTGTGTGTAAGATTCTTCATGAGCTAACTTTGTTATTAAAATATTTAAATTAGAATTACAGCAGTTACAGAGTAAAAACCATCTTTTCCTTTCCCCTGTTGTTCTCTACAGTATATATCTGGTCAGGTCTAGTTTTGAAAAGGTGCCACCTGAATAGAATTTGAGCTCTTGTAATACACTAGAGGGCCGCACACTTCATAGCTTCTTTGGCTGAGCTTATTGCATATCCCAGGGGCTTCTTGCATCCCTCTATTCCACTCCATGTGTTCCCTGTGTACCACCCTCCTATCCCCCTCATATTTCAGGGACTCCCTGTAACTCCCACCCAATCTCCCCCTGCCGGAGTTCTGTGTAGTCCCCCATTCCACCACTTCTCATATCAGATCCCCCATTCTGCCAACACGAGATTCCCCCTTGCCAACATTCTGTTTACCCCCCCATTCAGCCACACGAGATTCCCCAATCTCCCCTATCCACCCCGGATTCTGTGTGCTCACTCTTCCACCTTCCCACCCTACCAGGGTCCCATTCTTTCCCACATGTCAGAAGCTCTGCTTAACCCTATTCCCCCACATTGGGTTCCCCACTCTTCCCCTTCCCCCCGCCCCCTGAGTTCTGTGTCCCGCATTCCACCTTCCCACCATACCAGGGTCTCCTATCCTCCCACCCACACCAGGGGCTCTGTGCACATCTCCATTCCAACTCACCCATTATTATTTGTCTCGGAGATGCATCATTCAGGGTTTTGACACATTAAAGTCTATTGGGAGGATGAGCAGAGGGATATTGTTCTATTGGAAGGTGATGGGTGCTATCAACCAGTTGCCTGAATGATAGACAGTCCAGAGGTGTGTGAAGCTGTGGCTGTGCTAACCAGATGGCAGGGGTTCCAGGTGTCCCCCATTTTCCCCTTTTGGTTTTCTGATTCCCCCCCTAATTTATAGGGTTCTGGCCATTGAGACCTAGAACATTCCATAAGGGTGGCACACAGGAAGCTTGGTGGTATAGGTGCTTGGAGAAAGAATGCAAGGAGCCCCTGCTGGGTGCAGTGCATTCGATTTACAGAAGCAATACTGTGTGAACCTCTATACTCAATGTGAAATCTTTTCATCAGGGGCTGTCCAGATCCTTACCCACCATCTTTGAATAAAGAGACACTCATATTTGGTGGTACTTGATTTTTTAAAAGCAGATTACTCACATTGCTATAGTGAAATATGTACGTACAGCTGTAAGTTTAATATCCTAATACAGATAGTCAATTAAGGTGTTTGTATATATATATTTGTTTAAATAACTGGCGAATCCAGGAGAAAATTAGCAAGTTTTGCTCAAATGAATATTAATCTGCTTATATAAAACGAAATATGTAATGTTCTAGGTTTAGGATTAGTTGAATTATCTTTTTAAAACCTGCAAAAATAATACTTGTTGGCTCTGTCACAGACGGAATATTTCAAAGGTTCTTGTTAACACCAAGGGTTTGAAAATTATGCCAATGGTCACTATCACTGTTTTTCAGAATTGGAAGAAAGAACTAGAAAAACACAGGGAGAAATTATTAGGTGGAAATGAGAGTTCCTCCAAAAAGAAAGAGGTAAATATCTTAAGTCTGGTAAAGTATTCATGAGTTGGATTTTTCTGATGTGACATTCTTACACTGAAACAGCCATCACCAAAGAACACAAGTCAAAATGCAAATTCAGAACTACTTTCCTTGTCTGTGACATGTTGAGAGACCATGATACAATGTAACAAAATTGTCTCTTTCTTTTTAGAAAAAGAAAAAGGAAAAGAAGAAATCAAATAGGGTGAGCAAAGTTTTCGGGTTTTTAAGTTTTACGTGTCTGGAGTTCCTGAAAAGACAAAATAAGAGTGTAATTTGGAATTTTACATAGATGTTTAAATAACTATGCTTGTGTTACCTGTTATCTGAGAGTGGTAGTTTAGTTTGTATTTGAGGGAAAAAGGTTTAAAAATAAGAAGGTCTTACTTTAAAAATAGAGAATTTGGCTAGAATGCCATACATTTGTTTGTTTGAGGAAATATCACTCATACAGCTTAATTTAAGAAAATCTCCGCAGGCTAGACTCTTGGAACTAAGATCACTATAGATAACATTTGCAAATGCAGAGAGTATTTGGATGTTCCTTTAACTATTTCTCAAACAGACAAAATGCTGCATCTCACAAGCTTTCATTTTTGTTGTGTTTGGTCAAGTTGTCTTCATCTTCCTCTTCTTCATCAAGCTCTGATTCTTCCAGCAGTTCATCTGATTCTGATGATGAGGTGAGAACTAACATACCAGAATTGTAATTTTTGTATTTTCTTTTAAAATATGCTAGTGTATAATTCTATTATTTGCTGGTGCCACTTACTCTCTTATTCAGGTTATTATTAGGGTGGTGCATTCAAGAAGAAATGTATGGTTCTTGTTTTAACATGGAAATAGTGATTGTAGATTAGTCAACATTTTAACAGAGGCCCCAATTTAGCAACTACTTATGCATCTGTTTACACACTATGAACAGTCCCATTTACTTCAGTGGAGCTGTTCAGTGCATACATTTAAGCACGAGTAAGTTGTTGCAGGCCTGGGGCCATAATTTTTTTTTGGATTAATAGTAACCATTCATGGCCATACATCTCAGGAACAGTAGCCTGTTAGTTAATTTGTCTGTTAGTACCCTGTTAATTATACCTGAAGGGTTATTGGTTTATCTGTGAGATCTGAAACTATAACTCTTTCGCCTTTTAAAAACTACAGTTAAAGACCTGATATTTCCTATAACCAAATTAATACATGATAATATAGTGAATACGCAGTGCTCAAACAAACTTGTTAAAATAATTAACTTCTGGCCTCACAATTGTGCTCTCTGCTATTGTGTAACAGACTAACATTTGGTCCGACAATTTGTTGCAGGCCCTCAGCTTTCATTGAATTCAAAGGGAGTTGAGAGCTCTGAGCCCATGATTGGGTCCCTTAGCATTGGCACTTCACTCAGAAGGCTAGCAGAGACTAAGGCTTTGGCTACACTCGGGACTTCCCAGCGCTGCCGCTGCAGCGCTGTGAAGCACGAGTGTAGTTGCGCTGCGAGAGCTCTCTTGCAGCGCTGTATGTACTCCACCTCTCCGAGGGGAATAGCTTGCAGCGCTGCGAGCAAGCATGCAGCGCTGCAGGCTCTGATTACACTGGCGCTTTACAGCGCTGTGCTCGGGGGAGGGGAGGGGGCGTTTTCACACCCCTGAGTGCAGCAAGTTGCAGCGCTGTACAACGCCAGTGTAGCCAAGGCCTTAGGAGTGCTACAGAGATATCAAACCTGCTGGAAGGAGTGGTAGTAGCAATCCCTTTGATTTATTGTGAAACAGTTGGTTATAAAGCAAGCCCCCAGGTGGCTGTCAAGTGATGCTTTGAAGAAAGGAAGTATACAGTTGGGAACAAGAAGGGCAAATCTGCAGAGCTCTCACAGGGAGATAGAAGACTTGCCTCTTTCTTTACAGTGAGGAAAGAAACTTCTAGTGCACAAAGAAGTATAGAAATGAACATGACATTAATATATCTGTTCCATTAATAGATTTTTCTGTGCACCAAAATAGATTTTATAACAACATATTAAAAGAACACTAATGAAACAAGTATCAGGGGGTAGCCGTGTTAGTCAGTATCCACAAAAACAACAAGGAGTCCGGTGGCAGCTTAAAGACTAACAGATTTATTTGGGCATAAGCTTTCGTGGGTAAAAAACACCTCACTTCTTCAGATGCATGGAGTAAAAGTTACAGATGCAGGCATTATATAATGACACATGAAGAAAAGGGAGTACCTCACAAGTGGAGAACCAGTGTTGACAGGGCCAATTCGATCAGGATGGATGTAGTCCATTCCCAATAATAGATGAGGAAGTGTCAATTCCAGGAGAGGCAAAGCTGCTTTTGTAATGAGCCAACCACTCCCAGTCCCTATTCAAGCCCAAATTAATAGTATTAAATTTGCAAATGAATTTTAGTTCTGCTGTTTCTCTTTGAAGTCTGTTTCTGAAGTTTTTTTGTTTAAGAATAGTTACTTTTAAATCTGTTATAGAATGTCCAGGGAGACTGAAGTGTTCACCTACTGGCTTTTGTATGTTACCATTACTGATCTAACATACGATTTGTAAAAGAATAAATGGACACATAGGGACTGTCCGGTTTGGCCAGTGTACATGGCAGAGGGGCATTGCTGGCACATGATGGCATATATAACATTCGTAGACATGCAGGTGAATGAGCCCTTGATGGTGTGGCTGATGTGGTTGGGTCCTCTGATGGTGTCGCTAGAGTAGATATGGGGACAGAGTAGGCAACAAGGTTTGCTACAGGGATTGGTTCCTGGGTTGGTGTTCCTGTGGTGTGGTGTGTAGTTGCTGGTGAGTATTTGCTTCAGGTTGGGGAGTTGTCTGTAAGCAAGGACTGGCCTGTCTCCCAAGGTCTGTGAGAGTGAGGGATCGTTTTCCAGGATAGGTTGTAGCTCATTGATAATGCGCTGGAGAGGTTGTAGCTGGGGGCTGTACGCGATGGCCAGTGGTGTTTTGTTATTTTCCTTGTTGGGCCTGTCCTGTAGTAGGTGATTTCTGGGTACCCGCCTCGCTCTGTCAATCTGTTTCCTCACTTCCCCAGGTGGGTATTGTAGTTTTAAGAATGTTTGATAAAGATCTTGTAGGTGTTTGTCTGAGAGCTTGGAGCAAATTCAGTTATGTCTTAGGGCTTGGCTGTAGACAGTGGAACGTGTGATGTGTCCTGGATGGAAGCTGGAGACATGTAGGTAAGTATAGCGGTCAGTAGGTTTCCGGTATAGGATGGTGTTTATGTGACCATCACTTATTTGCACTGTAGTGTCCAGGAAGTGGATTTCTTGTGTGGACTGATCCAGGCTGAGGTTGATGGTGGGGTGGAAATTGTTGAAATCCAGGTGGAATTCTTCAAGGGCCTCCTTTCCGTGGGTCCATATCATATTGATGACATCTTCATAGTGCAAGTAGAGGAGGGGTGCTAGGGGACAAGAGCTGAGCAAGCGTTGTTCTAAGTCAGCCATAAAAATGTTGGCATACCATGGGGCCATGCGGGTACCCATAGCAGTGCCACTGACTTGAAGGTATAAGTTGTTCCCAAATCTGAAATGGTTGTGGATGAGGACAAAGTCACAAAGCTTAGCCACCAGGTGTGCTGTGGCCTCATCAGGGATACTGTTCCTGACAGCTTGTAGTCCATGTGGAATATTGGTGTAAAGCGCTTCTATATCCATGGTGGCTAGGATGGTGTTTTCAGGAAGATCACCAATGCATTGTAGTTTCCTCAGGAAGTCGGTGGTATCTCGAAGATAGCTGGGAGTACTGGTAACTTAGGCTCTGAGGAGAGAGTCCAAATAGCCAGATAATCCTGCTGTAAAAGTGCCAATGCCTGAGATGATGGGGCGTCCAGGGTTTCCAGGTTTATGGAGCTTGGGTAGCAGATAGAATACCCCTGGTCGGGGCTCTGGGGGTGTGTCCATGTAGATTTGTTCCCGTGCTGTAGCTGGGAGTTTCTTGAGCAGATGGTGTAATTTCTTTTGGTATTCCTCAGTGGGATCAGAGGATAGTGGCCTGTAGAATGTGGTGTGAGAGAGTTGCCTGGAAGCCTCCTGTTCATAATCTGACCTGTTCATTATGACTACAGCACCTCCTTTGTCAGCCCCTTTGATTATAATGTCAGAGTTGTTTCTGAGGCTGTGGATGGCATTGCATTCTGTATGGCTGAGGTTATGGGGCAAGTGATGCTGTTTGTTCACAATTTCAGCCTGTGCACGTCTGCGGAAGCACTCTATGTAGAGGTCTAGTCTGTCATTTCGACCATCAGGAGGAGTCCATGCAGAGGACCCAACCATCAGAGGACCCAACCACATCAGCCACACCATCAAGGGCTCATTCACCTGCACATCTACTAATGTTATAGATGCCATCATGTGCCCGCAGTGCCCCTCTGCCATGTACATTGGCCAAACCGGACAGTCCCTACATAAAAGAATAAATGGACACAAGTCGGACATCAGGAATGGTAACAGACAAAAACCAGAGGGGGAACACTTCAATCTCCCTGGACATTCTATAACAGATTTAAAAGTACACCTCTACCCCAATATAACGCTGTCCTCGGGAGCCAAAAAATCGTACCGCATTATAGGTGAAACTGCGTTGTACGAACTTGCTTTGATCTGCCGGAGTGCGCAGCCCCGTCCCCCCCGGAACACTGCTTTACTGCGTTATATTTGAATTCGTGTTCTGTCGGGTCGCGTTATATCGGGGTAGTGGTGTAACTATTCTTGAACAAAAAAACTTCAGAAACAGACTTCAAAGAGAAACAGCAGAACTAAAATTCATTTGCAAATTTAACACCATTAATTTGGGCTTGAATAGGGACTGGGAGTAGCTGGCTCATTACAAAAGCAGCTTTGCCTCTCCTGGAATTGACACCTCCTCATCTATTATTGAGAGTGGACTACATCCACCCTGATCAAATTAGCCCTGTCAACACTGGTTCTCCACTTGTGAGGTACTCCCTTCTCTTCATGTGTCATTATATAATGCCTGCATCTGTAACTTTCACTCCATGCGTCTGAAGAAGTGAGGTTTTTTACCCACGAAAGCTTATGCCCAAATAAATCTGTTAGTCTTTAAGGTGCCACCGGACTCCTCATTACTAATGAAACACTTATTTTAAAAAAGTAATTTTGGTTCATGATAACTTTTTAACATTGTTTTTTGCAGTATATATATTTTACATGTAGCTTTTAGGCTGCATCTACCTAAATGTTTTACTCTCTTACCTTTTTATGCATTAGCTAAGGAAGGTTATTCTCTTGACTACAAATAAGAACTTCCGTATGAACAATATTTATTTTGGGTGGCAGGTTTATAAACTGGATTCACTTTGATTTTTACGTAGAATTGTGTGTTGGCATTTCTTTAAAGAAAGATATTTTCCCCTCTAAATTAAAAATAAAACCCAGGCACACCATTATTACTTTGAAAAAAAATCTGTTCATGGCATTTTAGGCTAGATCACTTTGAAGATGAAGAGTCAGGCCCTCTAATATACTGTGGAAAAAAGTAATAAACAAGGAAACTAGAAAAATTTGGATTTATCACTAATATAAATTTTGAATAAATGCAGAAAAATTATGAATATCATCCACTCTAAGAGCCAATCATCTCTGTAGTGCTGTATTCATCAAGAGAGCATACTTACATATAGGACCTTAAGTTTCTGTGTTCTTCAGATTGAATATTCAGTTATAGCTTCACTGTGAACAAATACAAACTTTTTCTCTAAAACGTTTATGGATAGGATAAGAAACAAGGGAAAAAACGGAGAAAGAAGAGGTATCGCTCCTTGCGGAAATCTTCAGAAAGCTCTACTTCTGATTCTGAATCAGATAGCAAGGTAAAACGTAATGATGTATTAGTGTTGGGAAGTTTTTCTTTATTTATATTGTAAACATTATCTGATTTTGTTTTTGCATATACACTTCTTTATTTCTCTTTCAAACATACAGTGCTACTTTATGGGAGCAAGCAGTGCTTCCAGCCTTCTGCTTCCATACTCCAAGAGATATTATCCCTATTTGAGCTCAGTACACTGGCTGAAAGGAATAGTTTGATCTTTAGAGAGCAGACTTGTCAATGATTCCAAACTATTATCACTAACTTTTGAATTATAAATATACATTTTGCCTTATTTCCTGCCCAAACAAGCTCTGTTTTAGTGTAAAAATAAGCTAACATTTAAAACCTATAAATGTCTTAATTCTTTGTCAATGTGTTGTTTTCACATGTAGTTTTTTGTTGTTTTTTTTAAATGAAGGTCTGACAGGATATCAGTGCTCAAAATACTGCCTTACCAGATGTCTGTGGGAAAAGTACTTTCCCTTCAGAAATTGTACACTCTGCAGCACAAATTGAGCCTTTCATAAATGCAGTTATGGGGAGGTTTCCCTTTTCTTTGCTCTATTTGGAGCAGTGCATACCCAATTAATTAAACTTTCTGGTATGAATTTTGGACTTCATCCTGTGTAAACTAGAAAATAAACAAATTGTAAGGAGCCTGTCATCTGTCAACAATTGTTTACACTGTAGCAGGGAGTAATTATATTTTTGGCTTAAAAACTGGTAATCTAAGAAGCCATTTATGAAAGCTCTTTGGGGCTCAGTCCTGTCTTCATTTATCTGTAAAGTACCTAGCTTAGTGTATGTGCTATACAAATAATAACTAGCTCTTTATATAGTGTTTTTCATCCATAGATATCAAATAATTAAATCATTCCTCACATACATATACATACACACACTAGCTTTTGTTAATGTAAGTTTGAAAATTCATCCCTCACACACATGGTGGGGGGGGGGGGAGACACGACATTTAGACACCTCCTGCTGCTGAATTGGAGGACAAAAGACTCCATTCTTTCTCTCTGCTGTCAGCTGAGGTGAGGTGGGTGGAGAGACTCACAACCTTACCATTTCTTCCTTCCTAGTTATTCTCCATCTCTGATACTTTCTTCATTCTGTTGGCCCTGCTTGCATTCTGCCTTTTCTGCTGGCTCATGCACAATATTCCTCTTTGCTATGCTTTCAATAGAAATTACTTGTCTTGTATTATCACCAGACAGGAAGGAACAGCAGAGAGGCACTCCGTACATGGGGATCTCAACAGGGGAAAGCAGAACATGAACTGTTCTATAGGGAGTATGCTTCATCTTAGGCTTCATCCTGTTCCCTAGGATCTCCCAAAGGGCTCTTTTCTCACCCAGCGCATGTGGACTCTGCCATGATAGCGTGGTTTTTTTAAAGATTTTTAGGAATAGAGTGATGGTGGCTGACCTCTGTATAGGTTGTCTGCGTGTTCTGCTGAGCAACATTCTATTCCTTGATTCCCCACAAGCCTACCAGAGTAAGAGCAGAGTGTCTGCATACTGCAGGGCAAGGACAGAGGCAGTTGTACCAAAATGGTAGTTTTTTCATAATGTTCACGTGAATTGCCAGGTAAAATATCTCAGAGCAATTTGTTAGCACTGTAACCCAGAACAACCATAACAGCTTTGAAAAGTAGGTCCTTTTATACAGTGAATGATATCTGATCAAGATTCTGTTGTGATTCATACCACTGTGTGCTGAAACCATTATGTAAAAATTAATTATTTTCACCTTCTATTTAGGACAGCACAAAAAAGAAAAAATCAAAGGAAGAACATGAAAGAGAAAAGGTAAAATATTAAGTACTTGCAAAATAAAAATCTGTCTCAAAACTGTATTTTATACAAATATAGACAAAGGACCACATTTTTAAATAGCGGCACAAGGCTTGCGTGTATGGCAGTTGTGAACTTATGCTTGCACATTTTGAGACCAGATTTTCAAAGGTCCTCAGCTTCTATTTAAATAATTGTTGCCAACTGCTGGTTGCTGAGCTCTTATGAAAATCTGGTCCCAATAGCTGCTGAGTACAACAATTACTAGTTATGTGGCAAATTTGCAAACTTGTTCAAGCAGATAGGGTGAATTCAAGAACAAATGTTTAAGCGGCTTTCAGGTGGTCTTCTGTTTTGTTTTGTTTTGTTTTTAATTTATACCGAGGACTGAGAGTCATCTTATTAGTCTCTGCCTCCAGCAAGGAGAAGTCTTTCTTAGGGTAGCGGGGCATCAGCTCCCTAACACTGCCAGTCACTCAGCACTCTCCTCTGGGCTTATACCTTTCCTTCTTTCATCAGCAGGTTACCACAGGTGCACTTCAATCCCCGAATCCCTTTGAATCGTTCCCTTGAGATATCCAGCCCTAACACTAGCTACTCACAGAATTTCTGGATCCTCTGCACCCAAAGATGAGGCATACCCCAGTTTACCAGTGTTAGCATAAACTACTGCTCCTGTAAACCACACAGCACTTGTGAGAACATAAAATAAAACAAAAGAAGGTTTATTTAAGAAATAATAAAGATTTAATGAGAAATGAGAGAGAGAGATGGAAACAAGTACTTACAATACAATACAATACAAAACAAAATCATAAAAAGCAAACCTGGGTCTACACTTATCAGTAGTTACCCTTCCTATCTAATAAAGTAGATTTTCCCCCAAAGTTCAGTCCATTGCAGAACTGGCTGGTTTCTCAAGAACCAGGATCCAAACATACATGAAAGCATCTCTCTGTGCCAGGAGTTTACTGAGTGCCTTTCCCTATACTCTGTTATATTGAAAACAGACTTTTGTTTCTGTTCACAGAAAGGGTGAACCCCTGCCTTGTTGTAGTTTCTTGTCTACCTTTAGGTGGTTTTGATTGTTTGTCATTGCCCCTGATGGTTTTCCATTGACTATGGCAATGGTAGACAATAGCACCTTGCATTACGTAGTTGGCTGACTAGGGAGAGGTGATAACTCCCTCGTACTTGAGTGGGTCATCGAGAAACGTTGCCCCCAGTGACTAAGTTCTACTCCAAATCCATAGAGCATACTTTCAATATAAATACATTATTCCTTAAATACTATCTATACATACATCTCACAGTGATTGAGTCTTGACAAATTGTGAGCTTTCTGTAGGTACCTTCCATGTTACTGTTTATGGATAAATATCCTGTAAGATGTGTTTGGTGTAGTGGATTTGTCAGGTCCAAGGTGAGAGCTGTTTGCAAAGAACCGGAGATCCTTTGCAAACAGGTCTCTGTGTCGCATTCACCTCCCCTGTTCAGTCACCTCTGTTACCTTTCTGCTCAGTTAACTCTATTCAGTCTGACTCATCAATTCTGTTTCATGCACACCAAATGCACTGATTCTCTTCTATGTCCTCCCCCCATTCCAAATTCAGAAATACTTTTTCCTTGCCCTACTAAATCTGTTACCTCTCAGTAGCTGATCTTCAAAGCAGCAGTTCTTACCTCCGCCTCTTCTCCGTGCTTAGGTTTACACATACAGTGATTGTTGCCACATTTCTCTCCAATTTTCCCTTATTTCAATACCTGTCATCCTGGCTGCTTCACTTGCAATACCACTTCCTCAGTGCCTGTAGAAAGGGCTGAGGGTTCTACTCTGTCCCCTCATTTGATTAGATGGAGGTAACCAAGACTACTGAGTTTCTGATCCCACCGTGGAGAATAGAGAGCACATGATCTTCCTTTTCCCTTCCTAGCCTTGAAGAGCTGGGTGGAAAGAGGAGGTTCCATATCAGCTTTGCAAAATCCCATTTGCCTGGCCCAGTGCAAGTATGAAGCTGGCCTAGACAAGTATGACCAATGTTATCAACTTCTGAAGGATCCAAGCTTTCTTTTTTTTTTTTTCTTTTTTTTTAAGTAAGTTTTAAAAACTTAATATTGCAGCTACAAGCTGGTATGAAACAGCTACTGCTGATCCCAGTTGGACCTATAGGGGGAGCTGTACTCTTACTCTTAGCTCAGTAGCAGAGCAAGAAGAGCTGCAATAAATATATTCAAATTTACTAAGTAGTCTGCATCTCAATTTCATTTGAATTTGTGCAACATATTTTATTTTAAATGTTTGTTTATGCTATACAATTGTTATTTTAAATATTTTAAAATGTATTGCAATATTTCCCTATCTTAAAAAAAGTGTAGTAATGAAGCTAAGCAGTATCAAAAAATTCATTTCTGCTAAGAGTCTCTTGAAGTTTATTAGACAGTGGCATTGATTGCTGCATTCAATTTCTTGGTGCAGATGCATAATTACTTCAGTAGTTCAAAATTTTCTTTTTAATAAAATGAGACTATTTTATATTTGTATTCTAGATATACTTAGTCCTGCCTTCACATGGGAGGGTTGTGGACTAAATAACCTCTTGAAGTCCCTTCTAATCCTACATATCTATGATTCCATAATTTAAATGAAACATTAAAGTCAGTGTTTTTGTCACAGTCTGTGTTCTATTATTTTAAAGGCTGTACTTATGTGTGTTATTTTGTGTAGGACAACAAAAGTCTTAGTAGGAAAAGGAAGAAAATTGATCGTGGGAATGGACCTTTATCATCTGAGTCCTTATCAGAGTCAGATCCTACAGAGGAGGTCAGTGTGAAATACAATGTAGATTTCAAATTTTAAAAAAGTATATTTGATAAGTTAAATGTGCATAAGTGAGTAAGCTAATTTGACTGTGCTTAACTCATCAATAGACTAAGTGGCAAATTATGTATTATCTTGAAGCTGTTCAATTTAATTTATCCAGTTTAATTGGATTTCAGCAATGTGACCTATCTCAAAGTTGTGTAAGCACTAGCCTATTTAATAAGGACTCTTGCAATTCATTAAAGTTAGAACGCTCTACCACTTAATGATTTTTTTGAACTATTTTGTTATAGTTACAATTCTGAATACCATAATATTCACTAACATCACATTGAATGCTTGACATATTGACAGTTTATGGGACTGTCATTTCATTACTGTGTGTACAAAGGCAGGGGATTTCCAACTTATTTCTATTAATGTTAGTTATCACAGGACATTGATTACATTTGCAATGTTTGTTTTTTTTTTAAATCAAGAGGGTTAATCTGAGTTTAGTCTCTGTTCTAATATTGAGATCCTTTCATCATCGTTGATTGATTTAAATCAAGTACTTGTAATCACCGATTTTAATCATGATTTAAATCAGTAAGCAGGAAACCTTGATTTAAATAGTTTTAGCTCTGTTTTGCTTTTGTACTTTTTATTAAAGGTTGATTTTCATTGGTTGCTAACCATTACAACATGTTTATTTACACCTAATTTAGACTTTATACTAAGTTTTGTACCTCTTAGTAGGATACACTGTATCGATACACATTTATTCAAGCAGTTATCTAGCTTACCTTACATTTATTGAGATCTTAATTTTTACTTTTTTTTATTATGTTAGCAAAAATGATGAATGAGGTATTTACTAGATGGTTGATATTGATTCTTTTTATCAAAACGTGTTTCGTATTTAAAACTGATGTATTAAACAAAGGAAATATCTGTAGTTAGTGAATTTAACTGATTTGTTTCTGGACACTGTGTCTTTTAGGATTGTAGAACTAGTAGATCTCATCCTCTCACTCCGAGCTTTTTATTCATAGCTTGGAAGAGGAAAGCAAGTTTTCATGCTTTTTCAACTCCCAGTTGTTTTCTTAACTTTGAATCAACTGTTCTTTGAACTGAACCAGTGGAATAAACTGAAAGGAAGAAAATATTCTTTTTGCACTTGCAGAAGAGGCTTCCACTGTCAAAAGCTGAGTTAGCATTTCAGCAAACTCTGGTTCCAGATACTTAGACAGTGACTTCCTCCAGTTCAGTAGTATGTCTTTCTTTAAAACTTCAGCAGCAAACATGTACTGCTTAATATTATTATTTTTTATTTAAATAATTTTGATATATTCTAGTAAGTTACGTCCAAAATAGATTGTCACAATTTCAGAGGTAAATTTCAATTTCAAGTTTAAATAACTTTATTTTTTAAAAATAAACCTGTATTTAATTTAAATGTTAAAAATTGATTTTATTTAAATTATCCATTTTTATCCACCCTGTTTTCCATATAGAATTCCAGACTATGTGAAGGCTAGGGAAAATTGGAGTTATTATGGATTTTTTTACATAGCTAGTTTTAATAATTTTACTGGCATCTACATGATAATTCCCTGCTATGCTATATGTTGTATAAGTAGACAGACATTGTTTCCTTGAAAGCACTCACCATTTTTTATTTCCAAAACCGGATGATACTGGATAGAATTATTTGCAGAAAATAGCACAGATATCCCAGTGTATTTCTTCATTGTATGCTGTACCATATTGTGCCATCATGTTTTATAGCCAAAGCTAAAACTTTTTACTTACAGGTATGTTTGGAAATATTGTTCTGCCACAAAAGCTTATTAATAATTTTTTTTAGGTACAAGTGAAAAAGAAAAAAAACAGTGAAGAAAGAGAGAAAGTAACAGCAAGTATCATTCCTATTCTCTTATATTTAGAAAGTGTCTTAGCTATGTAAAAAATTCGTTTGTACTTTTGTAGTCTCGACAACATCGTTTACGAAGTTGAACATTTTATGGAAAATTCTACTCTCAGGTACACAGTTGTAAATCAAGAATAACTCAATTTACTTCTGGAAGCTCCTTGGCCTTTACATCAGTATACCTGAGAACAGAATTTGGCCCTGTATTTATAGATTCCAAGGTCAGAAGGAACCATTGTGATCATCTAGTCTGACCTCCTATATAACACAGGCCACAGAACTTCCCCCAAATAATTCCTAGACATATCTGTATGTTATCTAAATACAATTATTTTCTAGATGCAGTAAATGTCAAATATGTTTACTTATGTTCACATTAATAAAATGGAACATTACCAGCGTATATCATATGGGGCATTACAAACCCCCATTATCTAACTGATTTCTCAAAAATTCATAAAGTGTTCAAGTGACTTAAAAGATTAGGAAACAAAATAGAGACAATGACTATTTCAGACCTCTTACCAGACCAAAATAGAACTATGAATGATTTTTTTTTAAGTTAGTATTCTTTTTGTTTGTTTTATACTATTTATTTATGTAGTAATCTTTTATCTGAAATTTTTTTGGACAAAACACCCTTTCAAAGTTTTTACACCACTTCCTTAACTGAATTTTAATAGATGGGTTTTGGCTTATGAAATAACTTACATTATTTAACTGTTTTAAAGGATAAAACAAAAAAGAGAAAGAAGCACAAGAAACATGGTAAAAAGAAGAAAAAGAAGACGGCTGGTTCAAGTTCAGATTCAGAATAACACTTAAAAATCAAGCCTGTCCCTTCAACAAAAGTGCAATGACTAAAGGAAACTTCAACTGTGAAAATTATCGCAAACTTTACCACACTGCATGAGTTTTCCAGTGTTTTAGAAATATTACTAGACTTTCAATAGCCAGACAGGTGCTAATGTGCCCGAAAAGTCCATTGTTGTTGCCTGCTGCTTAATACCTGGGATACAATTTTTTTTTTTTAATTACAGTAGCCAGTGTTAGTTTAAAATCATAAGAGAGGGTGGTCCAGCTAATATGTAAAATATTAGGAAATAGAGTGCAACCTTTTAGATACTAAAAATAGTGTTTTAACCAGTTAGTAATATAGTCCAATTTTTAAATCTGCAGAAATAAAATCAAAAATTCATCTTGAAGAGGAATATAACACAAAACTATTGATACTTGCTGACTACTAATGCCATTTGTGAAATGGGAATAGAATAGTAACAGTTTTAAAGGTTACTTTTGTAGAAGTATTTATGATGATTTTGCCCTTTATTTTCTTTTGGGAATGTTACCATTTTGGCTAGCTGAATTAGGGTGCCTTTGATCCTTGCAAAATCTAACTATTTTTAACAGTACAACAGCTATATTTCCTAGGGAGATCAGAACTGGTATCAGCAGGTTTTCCTGAATAAACAATTCTGGGCCTCTAGCATGTACTTTTTCATTAAGTAAGAGCAGTGACACACTGCAGAATAACTTGACATCCAAAAATTAAAGACTTTACCTCCACTAATTGAAATGATGCTGAATACTGTGCTATTAATATGCATTATATCATTTAAAGTAATTTTGAGTTTAAATGAACATTTTTGGCAAACACTGGTAGCTTTTTTCCTTTGCATTGCCATTGAGATATTTAGAATTATTTTGTATGTTTTGTACCATTTTTAAATAACGTACAGGTTTTCAGTTGTAACTAGTGATTTATTTTTTTTATGAATTATGTTCCAGGTGTGGAGTTTCATGTATGTATTTACTTTATTCTTATAGTAAGTTCATTTGCTGTGATAAAATGCACACTTGCTGAAAATATTTAGCATGTAAAAAGCAGGGTTTTGATATCTAACAGCTTCATATTGAAGCTGATTTTACTCTAAGCAAGTTCAGTGGCAGACCTGTTATGCGGATGTGTCTTGTTATATAAAACTACTGCCAGAATCTCAGTAAAGATACTCTAAGAAGTTTGTCTTTGTATTTTTGGACCATAGGACCATGGAATATTGACACAAACAGATTGAGCTCTTTTACTTGCACCTGCAACTACTTCAGTAACAAAAACAGAAAAGAAACATGATACATTAACAAAACATACACAAAAACTAAAAGAATCCTTGGACTTCAGCTTTATACAAGTGCGCACTCTCGCGTCCTCTCACTCTGTTTCCATTGCCTGGTCTGCTGTTGTCTTTAAGGTATTCCAAAATGTTCTGCTGTAGAACAGACCAACCCCTCTCAACCCCTTGCATGCATGATAGTTCGTAACTATCTTAAGTGCAGTACTGAAGTGCAAAACATAGTTTTCTGCTACTCAAGAATTTTAGCACACTTCCTAAACAATCATAAATTTGCAGATCATAAAGAAAGAAACGGGAATTAGGAAAGATACTAATATTTTTGCGAGTCTTCAGTCAAATTGACTTCTTCAAGCAAGTTCTTGGAAACATCAAATTTTTATTTTACGAAACTGACTTCCTATCACTACTAGATTAAAACGCATTGAAAGGGTTCTTGTTCAATCATCCATGCTGGAGCTAGGTGAAATTGACAGTTTTGAAGACAATTGCATCATTATTGAAAATAAATGTAAGACTTCAAGACAGAATGAAGTAATTTAAATCAGGTTTAATGCTTTGAAAAACTAATTTGAAAATTTGTCCTATTGCAATTTTAGATTAAAATGTATAATGAACTAAATTATAAATGCTACTACTAGTAGGAAATCTTACTTAAATCTTATGAAACTGCTGTAGGCAAAACATGAAAAATTGAAAATTAATGCCTTGATCCTGCAAATTCATGAGCAGGTATGTGACTTTACTCACATAAATAGTCCCATTTACTTCAGTGGGACTACACATGCGTTAAATTAAGCATGTACATTAGCATCAGGAACTACTATGGTATATTTATTAAATTTTTAGTGGAATGAAATCTTTCTCTTCAAAATCAAATTGCTTCAGTATTAACAATGAAAAACATTATTCAGCTTTTCAGTACTTTAAAAAAGTTATAGTGAACTTTTTATATCTATCAGCCACATTTTCCAAAAATAGGAGCCTAAAATTAGGTTTCTATGTGTGGGATTTTCAAAAGTACTTAGGAGCACAAATCACATTGACTGCAAACCCTGATGCAAGTGTATAGTCTGGTCACAGTATTGTACCTTTCTTAATTTGTGTAAGTTCAATATACCAGAATGTGGGTGTTGGTGGCAAATGTAGCCAGAACTATTTGCTTATCGGTTATGTGAGTTTGTATTCGTATCCTAGTAAGAATGTTAAGACCCTGGATTATTAGTCTTTTTCAGCATACGTGAGCATTTTAAGTGTCAAACTTCTTCATAGAAAAGTCCGAAATTTCTACTAACATTTAGGAAACTAAAGAAAAATGTATAAAACATCCACTTTAGCAGTTTGTTTATACAATGGGAAGAAAGTACAGAACTAGCAATGTGTGCATTTAAAATGTTTTAAATTTTTACAATTATTTTTGTACAACTTTTTTTAAGAGATGGTCAAGTACTATCCTATACAGTAGCTAGTAAATGTTTAGCCTCCATACACTTAAGCTTGAAATCAAATTATTTCCCTTGACTGTTAACCTTTTACATGTGGTAAACATAGATTTTTGTATTGGTTTTATTTGGAACACAAGCCATCATGGTTTTTTGCTTTCTCATCCACAGCAAAGTTTTTATTATGGCTCAGTCCTAAGAGGGGTTGAGTGCTCTGAACTCCCATTTAATTAGTGGGTGCTGAGTGCACTCAACCCATTGAAGCATAAAACCTTTTAGGTAGAGCTCTGGTAGCAGTATTTCTAACCAATTTATGTTCTCTGATGGTTGGCATTAGAGCAGCGCAGGAATGCTGTTGTATACCATATGTACATTTAAGGGTTACCATGAGGTACTTAACTCTATATACATTTTTGTTTTTGAGGACATTCCTTATGATGTTATAATTACAAAGTAGGTCATGCTTCTAAAGTAAGCTAGTTGACTGTATTTGTAACATCCCCGAATGGCCAGGCCAAATGTCCTGTATGTGGAGTTACATGTAGGCACCAAACTAAAAATGGCCTGACTTTCACCGGTGCTGAATACCTGCATCAACTTCAGTGGGAGTTATGAGTATACAGCACCTTTCTAAAGTTAGGTGTGACTATCTTTTTAAACAACACTTTCACAGTCGGATGCTTAACTTTGAATCAGGAGAAGTATGTATCCTTTTATGATTCTATACAGCTTGAGAGAGTGACACTGTCTGAATATCTATTTAACATTACAAGGATATTATACCAAACTCTCTCATATGAGAGGGTAAGAACATTGTTTTAAAGCCTTGTCAAAGCTTGGCAAACCAGAGCCTCTTAATACAATATAGTAGTTGCAGTTGCTGAGTGACTAAAGGGTGGGCTTTGGCACCTGAACTGGACCCTCTGAAAACAGCCGAGGTGTCTTTTAGCTCCAGTCTGGACTGCACTAGGTCTTTTCTGAACAATAAGGTGATATGTGCAAGTTCCTCTTCCTGCCTCATATTCACTGGTTATAAATAAAAGCTGCAGTAGAGCTTTGCTCACTGCAAAGTGTGGTAGGGATAAGCAGTCCAAGCTTCATTGACTGACTTGGAGGCACTGAAATGTGCAAGCCTAGAGCCAGAGCCATCCCTTGGGTATGGTGAATTGGGATGACCACGCTGGGCCCTGAGCATAGGGGGGCCCTGCACTTGAGTGTGTGTGTTATGTTGGGGGGTGCTAGGCTGGCCTGGGGGGTGGGGTTAGTAGTTCAGGGGGCCAGCCCAGCCCCAGGGGTTGGCGGGAAGCGTGCATTGTATTTCTTTTCCTTGCTTGACCGCTGCCAGCGTCCTAGCGCTGCCGGAACATGCCAGTGCCAGACTGACCCCATCCATTGGCCTTTTGCCCTGGACCCCTCCCTTTTCTGGGACCCCCCAGCACAGGGGGTCTCCCTAACACAGGTGCCACCCTGTGACTCTCCATCATCCCTTGCCCCAGGACTGGTGTCCCCTCCCCACACCAGATTTCACCTGTATAAAAAAATCAACCTGCACTTCCCCAGGTTGATTCGTCCCTGGCCCTGCACCCCTCTAGGGTCGGCCTTGCCTAGAGCAGAACTCTACTATCTGCTGCCCAGTAAGTAATCATTAAGGAGTGGGGAAAGCGAAAACTGGGGAAAAAGGCAAAATGCAAACAATGCAGGCCAACAGCTCTGACCCAGAGAGCAGAGAGATTTGCCACTCACTGTCCAAAAGCGGAGGGAGTTTTATTTCCCCACGCGAACAAACTATAATTCAGCAGCAGCAGTCTGCTGCTCTGCAGGTGGCACTTCAGGCGGGTTCTCAAGCCTCCAGGGCCAGACAGCCTGGACTAAGGCAGCTGCGAGTTGGAGGGTGGAGAGCGGCCCGGGGGCGTAGCAGCAGCCGCGGGGCGGAGCGGGATCCGAGCCGCCTTGGTAGAGTGGCAGGAGTCAGACAGCGAGAGGCGGGGTGGGCGTGGAGCTGCCCGGCGGGAGAGGTGCCCGGCGGCTCCGAGGGAGAGGCCAGAGCTGAAGGCGGCCATGAGGCGCCTCGAGCAGCGGGCCCCGCTGAGCCCGTAGCAGAGGTGAGGGGGGCCCGCTCCCCACAGGCGGTGTGGGCCCGGTGCACTCGGGGCTGCTGAGTGAGGCTGGCTGCTGGCAGCACAGGTGTGTGAACGGGGTTCGGCTGAGAAATGGACCTGCTCAGTCCCCGTACTTGGGCAGCGGACGAGGAAGCCGCTGCTAACGTTACTGAGCAACGACGCTTTATGAGTCCCCGCCCCTCTGCGGGAGGCCCGGTCTCTTGTTTTGTGATTGGCTGCTCCCCGGGCTTCTGTTTCCATGGTGACAGCGTGCGGCTCCTAGGAGAAGAGCTGCTGCCGGGCGCAGGCCGCGACGGCTCGAGAGCACCATGAACAGGAAGAAGCTGCAGAAGGTCGCGCAGTCGCTGTGCAGGACCGCGAAGCACTGTGAGTGCGGGGCACGGCCTGAGCCTGCTGCGGCCCACGGCCCGGGCTCCCCCAGCAGTTCCCAGCCCCGCCCCAAGCAAGACTCATGTCTAGGGTGACCAGTCCCGATTTTATAGGGACCAGGGCCGGCTCTAGGCGCCAGCAAACCAAGCACGTGCTTGGGGCAGCACATTTTCAAGGGCAGCATTCTGGCCATTTTTTTTTTGTGTGTGTGTGCTTCCGGCAGCAAACGCCTAGAGCTGGCCCTGGCAGCAGCAGCGTGTCGTGCGCGGGAGGCACCCTGTAGGCGCTGCGGTTCGCACCACCGGGGAGCAGCGCCCACACCTTGTGGCTGGGCCGGGCAGGCTTCGAGCGGGGGACACTCAGGCTGGGGGACACCCCACGGGGCACACAGAGCTGCCTGCAGGTGCCGCAGGGCGGCTGCCCCTAGCGCGGCAGCCGGGGCTGGGCGAAGCGGCCCAAGCCGCCCAGGGACTGTGGCAGGGCGGCCAGAAGCAGTAGCGGGGCCATCGAGGGCGGGATGCTGTCGTGCGGGGCCTGCGTCCCGCTCTCCGGGGCTCCGCTGCCTCTGGGGCTACCCTACCCTGGCTCCTCAGCCCTCTGCCGGGGCAGTCCCCTGGCTCTGCCCTCCTGGGTCCCGGCCGCTCCTGGAGGCGGGAGCCCTGGCTGGAGGGACCCTGGGCTGAGGCACAGCCCGGGAGCCCCACTGCTTACCCTGACCCTGCCAGCACCGGACCGGCTGGAGGTGAGGGGGGAGCGGGCAGAGTCATCACTGGGGGGGGGGGGGGCGGGGGGGGGGGGGGAGGGGGGGGGGGGGGGGGGGGGGAGAGAGGGCCCAGGGCTGGGGTGGCAGGGGGGAAGAGAGAACCCAGGGCTGGGGTGGGGGACAGCCAAAAATTTTTTTGCTTGGGGCGGCCAAAAACCTAGAGCCGGCCCTGATAGGGACATTCCTGATTTT